CTTCCAGTTGCTCAGTGTCATAATTTCCTGGACCCTCAGTGGCCTGCTCTGCCCCCGCAGCCAGTTGCTGTCAGCTGATTGCTCAGGCCCACAGGGTCCCTCCACCAGGGGACGGTCAGTTGCTTGTCCAGGAGGGTGTGGTTCATCTTCCCAGGTGCTGCTGCTCAGAGCTGAAACCAATGGCTTAGGCCCCAGGTGCTAGTTTCTTCCACGACTTTGGACTTGGCTGTGACGCCACAGGTAGGCATGGGATCTACTTCTCAAGAAGCTTCAGAAAGGGCTGAGCTCAGCCACCCGAAAGTGAAACCCCAGTAGGGTACCTGGGCCAGTGAGGAGCAGGCCTGGGGGAGGGGCGAGCTGGGCAAGTAAACACCCCTTCCTCCTCCTTCCCACCTGCTATCTGGGGGTAGATTTCTGCCCTGTCCAAAGCTACCCTGCTCAGCGCTGCCTGCAGGCGAGTCTCCTTGGCTTGCTGGGAAGAAGGGCCCGCATAGTTAACACCCCAGCTTCCCTGCTCCCTCCTGTTCCTGTGCCTCACCCCCTTGGATGGCAGACCTCAAAAAGTGCAGCGTTCAGTGGTTGCCTGGGGGTCTGTTGCCTAGGGAACCAGCTACAACAGGGAGGTAGAGACAGGGTTCAGACAGGAGCCGCACACCACGCGCGCACTCTAGCCGGCTGTCGGGAGCGCATAGCCTGCCTGCATTCAGAGGCGGGGAGCCCCCACTCCTCTCCCACTTGGTGTCGTAGCCTGGTGATCTGGAGGCAGGATGACTTCTGCTCGCTGCTTGGCAAAGCACCCCTAGGTCACAGAAGTGTGAGGGGAGGGTCCCAGCTGTGATTTGAAGGCAGAGAGCAGAGTCTGGGTGCCCGGAGAGAGGGCAAGGGAGAGCCACAGAGGGACACCATGAGGAGGGGATCTGGGCATGGAGTTGGGCCAACCTGGGTTCCAGATCCACTCACTGAACTGCAAGTGAGAGGGCTGGATGGAGTGATCTCCAAGGCCCAGAACACTACTTCAGGAAAGGGGTGACACAGAGAGCACCCCATGCACACCATCCAACATTCCTTCCCCCTAAGGGCTTCAGAAAGACCTGGCTCACAGTAAGGGAGCATCCCGTGGCAGGAGGAGGGCTGTGCTGAAGACCTCTCCCAACCCTGGCTTGCCCTGGGAGCCGTCACCAACATGTGGGGAAGACACCCTTGTAAGCATGGGTAGGATTGCAGTCTGACACTGAGCTGAGGTCAAAAGTAGAAAAAGAATGTATGCATCAACAAGTGGCTGTGCTCCTTACCAGCTGGATGACAAGGAAATATTGCAAACTCTACTCCTGGGCACTATAGTTAGATCCCCAAGTTATATGCTGAAAACCCCAAGTCATGTTAGTGTATTTGGAGGGGGGGCCTTGGAGGTAGTGAGGGCTATGTAAGGTCTATGTGGGGTCATGAGGGTGGGCTCATATGACAACATCAGTGGCTTTGTAAGACAAGGTGAAGAGACCCGCGCTAATAGCCATGTTCTGTCTCATCTTGTGATGCCCTCTGCCATGTTATTTTTTGGTGCTGGGGATTAAACCCAGGGTTGCTTAACCACTGGGCTACATCCCCTGCTCTTTTTATTTTTTGAGACAGGGTCTTATTAAGTTGCTGAGGCTGGCCTCAAACTTGCAGTTTTTCTGTCTCAGCCTCCCAAGTTGCTGGGATCACAGATGCGTGCCGCTGCGCCCAGAATCCGCTGTCATGATGCAGCAGGAGATCGACAGATGCCAGTATTGGTGCCATGACCTTGGGCTTCCCAGTCTCCAGAACTGTAAGAAGTAAATTTCTTTTTAAAGTTCCAAGTCTCAGGCATTCACTTAGAGTGACAGAAAATATACTAAGGCTTTGGGTTTTGTTGCCCATATGATTGGGATTCTAGTATCTGCCTCATAGGATTGGTGTGAGGGTTTAGGACAAGAATGCAGAGTGACTGACAAATGGCAGCCATGTTATTGGTTAGTGTCACTCTTACCAGTGTGTTGACATTCTGTGGACTCAGGGCATCAGGAATTCTCCTGGCCAAGTGCCCCGTGAGCCCTCCACCTGATGATAGTCCTGACTGAGGCAGGATCCGACTCTCAAACAGTTCAAGAATCCCTGGATTCGCTTTTTGCTGCACTTCTATGGGAAAAGTGGCCAAACCATTGGTATCCTCAGACCTTGTACGAGACTCAGGTATCGATCATTTTCAGAAAACAACTCAGGAAGGTTATTAGCAGGGCTGCAGGTTGTTGGGTGAGGAGATTAATGAGAGCAACACAAGTTTAGAGGCTAAAAGCTCATTGTCCCTGGTTACAGCAAGTCTCTGAATCTGGGTGCTTTATAAGCCTACATTGGAGAGATAACGCCTGCAGGTCCAGGGATTGGAGTCTTTTTTTCTGCAGGTGTGGGAAAAGGAGGAACCATTCTTTTTCTTATTGAGAATTTTTCCCCACGGGTAGTTGGGAGGGCTCACATTTCAAGGTTAAACACCAGGATCTCATTTGTGCTGAGAGAAAAAAGCCAACCTGAGGATCTTATAGGTAAAACATGGAGAGGGGGGAAGGATGGATGGACAGGACAGAGGGCACATGGTACTCTGCTGTCTCCCCATGGAGCCTGGAAGGTGGCCAGGTGTTCAGCTCTTCAGCTGCTCCGGGCTTCTCTGCCCTGTGTACTCCCCTACACCTCTGCAAAGTGGAGTCAGTTGGATGCCAATCCCCAGGAGCATCGACTCGCTTCAGGAACCCAACCACCACCATGACAGGACAGAATTGTTGAGGGGAGAGGAACCCCCACCAGCCACCAGGTCTGGGGCTTGGAGAGGGAACACAGAGGCCACCAGGAAGAGAATGGGGTAGACTCAGGATGGCTTGTGCCCTAAAGGGGCCCAGAGACAGGACAGGGTGGGAGAGGTTTGCACCCTGGGTTTGCACCCCAGCCTTTGCACTAAGTGTACAATCTTGGTCACTCCTTGTCCCTGGGCTTCAATTTCTTCACCTGGCTAATAACTGTCCCACCCCCTGGAGACATTCTGTATATTACACAGTGCCAGGGACAGTCAGGGCTCCATACGTTGGAGCTGCTATCATCTCAGCCTTTATTGGACCTCAGGGCCTTGCCTCTCAGATGTGAGCTTCCAGCCCAAGGGCTCTAGATGGTTCTAGACCCGAGCTCCTCATTGCATGTACTTGACGTCACCCATGTCAATTTCCTTCCCAGGTGGGGTCCTCAGTCCCCTGCCAGGCCCTCCTGTGCAGTCTGTGGACATGAGGATGGCTCCATTCTCCTTTACTGCCAGGCCTCACTCACCTTCCTTGGGTGAGTTCCCTGGGGATTCTTTTGTGGGGAGGGGAACCCACTTTGGAACCGGCGACAAGATCCAAGGTCTGGGCCATGAGTCCACTGGCCCCCAGATTCTTTTGCACTTGGCCAGGGTCTGTATCAGAGTGACCAGGCTCAGTGCTTGGCCATCTCTTTCCAGAAGTAGAGGATGTTGGTGTGAAAGTCTTCTCGGTGGACTTGCTCAGCGCCCCAGGGTTTGCCCCTAAAAGCCCAGAGTCATGGCGAGGTCCCTGGGGGTAACAGGAAGAAGTGGGGAGCTTTGATGTCAGGTCGGGCAGTGCCGGGCACTATAGCCCCCCATCTTCCTACCTGGGCAGAATTAGGCAGCAAGGCTGATTTAAACCACAGAACCAATTTTATTGTCAGTAAGAAAGAGCAATATTTTGGAGATGATAAGCTAAAAAAGGGCCTGGGTGGTTGTATTAAAAAATGTAAAGTACAAAACTATTAACTAAAAATAAAAAGGAATATTTAAAGGCTGTTCTGTTAAGTGTGGAGACTGAGAAAATGAAATGAAAACACAGTTCCTTGTACTGAGGGCTGCAGCTCCTTGTGGTTTGGGACTCCAGGGTGGGGCTTCCTTGTCCACCCACCAGCAGGTGGCTGCCCCGGAGAATGCTGGGCTCTTGCCACTCAAGTTCAGTCAGCCCCTCTGTGTCTTGCAATTGAGGACAACTTACAGGGAGGGTCTTCCCATGTTTTGAGGCTTTGGTGTCATAATTAGGCCTCTCCTCTTCTGGAAACTTCCCTCCCTGGCAGGTCTGGTCGGCAGCATCTAAATGTCGGTGGATGAGAAGTCTGGGATTTGCTTGCCTTCCTCGTTGGATTTGCTGGTCAGCTGTGGGGGAGATAAACAGTAGTAAGACGGGATTCTCATGAGCATTGGCATGGAGCTCCCCGGCCTCTATACTGATTGCCCAAAGCCAAATGAGTGAGCATGAGTGGTCATGACCTTGAGCTTGGCCAGGAAGGTGGTGCTGGGCCACGGGTGGACCACAGCTTTGCTGTTCCATGACCACTTGCTGGCTGGGTGAACTTGCCAAACTGAGCCTTAGAAAATCCTCCAAGCCAGTGGAGGATCGAATGGGATGGTACCTGGGAGTGCTCAGCACCGTGCCTGACTCGCCGTGTACTCCCAGCAAACTTGTGGTTATTTTAGTAACACAGTTCTGGTTTACTATCACCTTTAGGATCAAAAGTGTTGTACTTTATTGATCGTGAGCAAAGAGCAACGAGAAATAAGAGGAGCCAGGACTTCAAGGTCAGTAATTCAAAGCTAACTTTAAATTGAAGAATTTTGTACAATGAATAGAATACGAAACTGCTCCCTTAACAACAAAAACAATTCAGCTTCCAAAGGCAGGCAGCCAGCTATTGGGGCTCAGCCAGGAAAACCAAAGGGGCAACCACGGATTGGTACTGATGTCAGGGGCCCTGGTGGATGCACTGCTGGACAAGGTTCAGCCCTCAGTAGCCCCTGATCATGCCTCCTGGAAGTGGCCACATGTCCACACGTGCCCCGCGATGTACAAGCTACATACACGTACATATCCTCATCTTCTCTGGACAGTGTCCTCTTCCTCCCACCCACCTGGGTCCTCACCATTGTCTTGAAGAACTGATTGACTTTCTTCCTCTTTAGCGTCTTCTTGTCACCGTCTGAGAGATGGAGGAAGGTCTGGCTGAGGCGAGGTGACACGTTGGTCTCCTCCAATCCGGGCACGCCAGCCACAGAGAGTGTGAGGGCTAGAAGCAGAGCAGAGACCCGGGAATGGGTAAGATGGAGGAGAGGTGGGCCCCGGGGATAGGAAGGGTGTCTCTGGAGGCAGATGGATCACATAGTGTGGGCAGGAGGCCCATCTTCTGCCATGCCAGGGACTGCTGAAGCCATGCTCTTGGGTGAGGAATGCCAAACGTACAGTCAGTGGCCTGCTCCAACTCCTGCTCTTGGCCAGAGCCTTTCCAAAGCTCCAGGCCTGGAGACATGGGGGAAGGCTTCGAGGTAGGGGACAGAAGTGAGCATGTCCCTCCTTTCCTGCCCAGCACCTGCATTTCTCCTTGCCACCCAAGGCAGGGGCTGGGGAGTGTGTCCCCCTGATGAAGCAACTGGATGGCCTGATGGTCATTCCCCAGCTTGGAGTCCCAAAGACCCGAAAAATGGGCTACCACACTATTGGCTTTGGCATTGGCAATAAAAGCACAGAGCACCAGGTTGTCTCTGGGTCCATGGTGAGGATGGCTGTGCAGGGCTCTGTGTCGCTCACACACCAGCCTCAGGGCAGGGCCTGGGTCTAAGGTCAGCCTCCGCCACTTTCTAGCTGGCGACAGTCGATACTGAGGTTCTCAGTGCCTCAGTTTCCATGTGTGTGCAGCAGGGAGAGCGGCATTAGCTACTCCGTGGCTGTGAGTGCTGGATAGAGGACGGGGGTGGGGCAGGTAGGCAGGGCCTGGCCCCAGGTGCTCAGGCACTAGCAGGTGCTGCCCTGGCCTTCTGTGGTCCACAAGGGCAGCCCTGTCCTTGCTCTTGGCGCAGAGCCTTCACGACGTAGTGACCACTGAGGACTGCTGCTTGCCATGCCCTCTGTGAATGAAATGCAGCCAGCCGTGAGTGGCCACCCTCCTCCCAGGACGGTGAGTGGTGGGAGGGAAAATGTGCCATCTAGGTGTCAAACACTCTGCAGCTGCAACATGTAAGTGGCAGCTTTTGTAAACCCAGAAATAGTTCTCCAGTTCTTTAAAAAAAAAAGCCACTGGTCTCGGGGTCATACCAAGGACAGACTTCTAGCCCTGGAGAGGCCCAGGTAACAGAATGCAGGGACAGCAGGTGCTCAGTGGGTTCTGAGGGACCTAGGCTTCCAGGGAGCCCTGTTGGCCTGGCTGCACCCAGAGGACTGGCTGTCAGCAGAGTCTCACCCCATGATGCCTGGTCCCCACTGCAGTGCGGGACGGTCCCCATCCACCCACAAGGCTGGCGGCAGCATGCGTACCTGGGATGGTGGGCATGGACTGGCTGGCAAAGCTCATCTGAGAGAGGATGGACATCCTGTGGGGGATGGTCGCATGCTCCGACAGGTTGGTGTCACTCATGAACTCGTGCTTCCTGGACAGCTGGACAAATGTAGCACAGGGGCTTAGAGTGAGGCAAACATGAGCCGTGAAAGGGGAAGGACGAGGGTGATGACTGGGCTCCACAGAAAGTGAATTCATGCTGTTTTCTACCATTCCATGCCAGCGCCACGTAAGGCTGCATAGTTGTGTTCTCCGAAATGTCAGGAGTGTTGGAGGACACCGATTTCGACTATCAGGTGAACGTGCCCCTAGGATGGGGAGACAGAAACTACTTCCACCTTCTCCCCTAGGTAAGAGCAGTCGGGCCCTGGGCAGGGGCTTCCTCCCCCAGAGGCATCTCTGCTGGCCCTTTAATCTGACAGCCCCCCTCTTGCCAGAACAGTGAGTTCCTCTCTCCCTCCCAAGTCCTCACGGTGCTTCAACAAACCGCATTTCCAGGGGGAAACTGGGACTGAACTCAGGGCTGTTTGATACTAAGTCTCATCATTAACTTATAAGACCCGAGGGCTCAAAGCCAGCCCAGTGAGGTTCTCATCTCCGCATCCCCACCCGGGTTACGGGCACCCAGAGGGTGCTGGTGGGGTCAGAGTTGCTCCCTAATTTGTCAAAGGACACACACAAACTCTGGAGTCTGGGGGCCTGGGTTCAAATCCTGCTGCATCCCAGCTGCCCTGGCTGCAGACACGGGCCTGGGCTTCACCTCCTTGCTTCCCAGATGCACCATGGAAGTGAGTCCACCCCTGGAGGGGGACCTGTCACTGCCACTCACCCGCTTCAGCTCTGACTCGGCTGCTGCTTTCTCGTCTGCGAACACCACGCTGCTCCTCTTGGACCTCTTCTTGGATCTCCGCAGCTTGACCTCAGGCAGCGTGCTCCCCGGGGAGATGGGCTCCTCTTCCACTTTCGGAGTCTTGGGTGGAGCTAATTCCAGGTCAAAGCTGAAGGATAAGTGGGACAGCAGTGGAAACTGCAGTTAGAGCTCCAGTGGGACTGCCTTGTGGGGACCCAGAGGGCCAGAGAAGACCTTCATGTTGACTGAGCTGTCACTACAGCGTCAGGGATGGATGAGCTAACCTTTCAGAGAATTTAGGGAGACAATTTTGAAAACATTCAAAATACAGGGTAAGGAGACTGAAGGTAGCAAGACTGATGGCAAGAAGATAAAACTGGTTAAAAACATGGATCTGGATTCCAATCCAGGCACTGCCACTTGAATGGATGACGGGGATTCTCCACTGTTTCCCTTAGTAAATGGGGGGGGGGGGTATTTGCACAACCTTAGAAATGAGGGCTGAGCACTTGGCAGGTGGCCTCTATTGTTGAAACAGTCACATTGGGCAGGGAAAAGCCAAAGGGTTCTAGGATGGTGGAAACGAGACAGCCAGGCCCCCTTGAAGAGGGCACATGCACCCCAGGGACCACCCGTCATGGCTTGCTGGCTGTGGAAAGCATGGCTCTGCCCTCGCCCACTCTATCAGCCTCAGAAACGAAGGGCATTGAAGCCAGGACACCCGCACGGCTCCCTCGGGACGACCAACATCAGGGATGGAGTGCGAGTCACTTAAACAGCAAGTCCCCTGTCCTGACTTGATCTGTGACCCCTCGTGTTCTCTGAATAGCTGCAGTGATGCATCTTGTGACAAGGCAGGGTGATTTTGTAAGGACAGATGTGACATGTGGCTCCAGACCGACCGCCCCTCCCTCCAGGTTGACGTGCTCGCACAGAACTCCTTAGGACATGGCTGGGGACAGTCTCCCCCCCACCCCCCACTCTGGCCCACTGGGCGGTCCTCACACAGGCAGCACAGGCCTCCCCTCTGTCCCGGGAGCCAGCTGGACACTTGGTGCTGTGCCTCCCTCTGCTCAAGCAGGAACTGCCACAGTCGCTGTGGCTGCTGCCCACTCAGCGGTGCCTCCGCCTGACTCTCCCGAGGGAGGCACGGAACCTCTACCAGGTGAGTGAAGGGGTAAAGCAGGAGGAACCACAGGGTGTGGATGGTGTAGCAGCTGTGATGGAGACAGCCCATCTGGGTGGGAGGAGCTTCCTGGGGGGACGGGACCCCTGTCAAGGGGTGAGAACATTCCAGATGGATGCAGGCTCTGTAAGGAGCTGTGGTTGCCCAACAGATCACTGGACTGGGGACCTGAGACTGCAGTGAGTCCCTCTGGGGCCTCAGGAAAATGACCTTTGAAAAATGGCCCAAGCCATGGACAGTTATGAGGCTTGAGAGCCTCGAGACTGAAAGGGGTGAGGCTGCTGGAGGGGTGGAGGGAGGCTCTTCTGGGGGTTGGGGACAGGGACTGACCTCTCCGAGGTGGTCTTGCTGGGAGTGCTGCAGTCAGAATTCATGGAGGCCAGAGAGATGATGGACATCTGCCTGTAGGAGCGCAACATGGACCTGGGGCGGCCCACTCTCCTGTCGTCGAAGTCAGGCTGCAGGGGGAGAACAGGGTGATTGGCAGCTGGGGCCACATGCCTCTGCCTTCCAGAACCATGGGGCCGAGCGGCCACCAGCACAGCGCTTCACGGCGGTGCAGGCTGGGGGCTGCTATAGAATGAAGAATTCAGCTGGCCTCTGTCCCTGGCTCCTGGGAGATAACCTCTAAATCCTTCACATTTTCTATGACAGGAGTGTCTTTGCTATTCATGGTGGCCCTGGGGACCACATCTGACTTTAATGAGAGAGCTCAGAATGGGGGCTGGCCATGCCAGAAAGACCAACCCTGTCATTACAGGGCTGAGACTTCGAGCCATGTGATGTCAGCTCAACCTCCAAGGAGGGGATAGGACCGAGAGATGGATTTCAATCCAGTGGCCAGGGCCTCACTATCAGGACTTCATCATGAAACCCCAATGGGAACCTTGGACACATAAACTCAGGAGAAATCCCAGTGGGTAATTATACATTAAGGTGTCAGAAGTAGGGTGTGTCCTTAGGGCTTGGAAACTCCTAGAATGCACTCTATGCATATCCTTTCTTTTCTTGAGTTCATGGGGACTGGACCCAGGGGCATTCTACCACTGAGCTTCATGCCCCAGATCTTCTTATTTTGAGATGGGGTCTTGTGAAGTTGGTAAGTCTGGCCTGGAACTGGCCATCCTCCTGCTCAGCCTCCTGGGTGGCTGAAGTTACTGGCGTGCACCACGGCACCTAACTCGAATATGCCTCTTCATCTCGTTCATCCTGATTTGATCCTAACCAGAAGCTCCTCCCATATGATGGGGTTACATATTGATGAATCCATCATAAGTGGAAAAGATCACAATTTAAAACCACATGGAGTCCACCTGGCCTGCTGACATCTGGGCTTAGTGACACAGTGCACTGAAGGGGTCAGCTGGGAGCCGTGCTTCCAAAGCCTAGGGGCTTGAAAGAGTATGTTCCGCGTAGCACCAGCTCAGGAAAGATCGAAATTCAAAACATGATTCCCACTGACTGCATATTGCTCTCATATTATCATAAAGTCAAAAAACCATTGAGTGGAATCATCATAAGCAGGCACCGTCTGTGTAGTGCTTTGTGTTAGCAGATTACCAGACCTAAGGGGTAGTGGGAAAACTCCCAGTGTGCAGCCAGGTGGGCAGCAGTGTGGATGGGCCAGGACCCTGGAGCTTGTGGCCGGGCCCTAAAGGGAGAGACTATGTTCTGAACCTGGGAACCTTGACTTAAATTCAGTTATTTGGCATTGGAATTGCCCTGCAGGAGCTGCCTGCGGGGTGCTGGCAAGGCCACCTGTCCTGTGGAGAAGACCCGAGGCTCTTCCAGGAACCCGCCTTCCTGTCTGGATCTCTGAAAATGAGAGGGTCATATCTGACGGTCTCTAAGGGACTGCACAGCCTTGACATTTTACTGTTCCACTTTATGGGGAAGAGGATAAAGATGATGTCCCTGGGAGCAACAGGCCAACAGCCTCTTGAGGCCACAGAGCTCGATGGCCAAAGCAGTGGCTCTGGTGTCAACACAGCAAGTGTGAATCCTGACCTTCACTCACTCTCTCCGTAACCTTGGGCAGGTTGACACCTCAGAAGAGACACAGAGGTTGACAACCACTCCTCCCTGCCAGGCTCCGGATGATTAACTGGCCCAGTAGATGTCAAATGCTTACTTAGATTAGGCCTGGCATGTAGTACACACATCAGCAATGAGGTGATACAGTCCCTTGAATAACTGGTATCCATTCTTGGTGACTTTGAAAGGGTCAAGTTCATAGGAGGGCCTCCCTGGGTCAGCTCCAGCAATCCCGGCTCCCGGAGGGCAGGATCCTCTGCTGGGCCTCTTTGGGCTCCGACTCCCCTGGTCCCTCTCCCCCCTTACCCAGACACAGGGACCCTCCATACCATCTCTCGTACTCCATACTCCTTCTCCACCTTGACTTTCAGGTTCTTGAAGCATTCCTCCATCCGGTCATGGAAGGGCCGAAGGTTTTCTGACACTCTCTTCTCATGGATCTTGATCCCAGCTCCCAGGAAGGGGATCTGGAAAGGAAAGAGGTAAATGACTATCCACAGCCTGGCCAGATGGGCCCCCACCTACAAGGTCACGTCTGCCTGCTAAGAATTCATCAAGAGTTTCAGGGTCTTGGGAGACCTGTAAACAACCCTGGGAAACCAGGAAAACTACAACCTTGGAGCTTGCTCTAAAGGGGAATAGATCTCCAGCTGCCTGGCCTCACGGAGGTTGGATGGTCCTACCCCATCAGAGGTCACGTGCTCTGGAAGGCAATCTACTGAAGGAGAGACCAGAGGGGAGGAATCTCTGAGCTTTTACCTAAAGTCACCCCTAAGAGGTTCTTGAATATCTGAAGGTGAACTGGGAGGGAAGAAGGGAGTGGCCACAGCCTCACCTCCCAGCATGGAGGTGCAATTAGACCTGATGTGGTTTGCTGAGGGTGGATACAGATGTGTTGATATCAAAGTTAACCACCAATAGGGAATTTCCAAAGTGATGTTAAAAACCTTGGGAAGATGAGGGAGGAGGGGAGAACTGGTGGGAGGGAAGTAAAGTCTTGTCCACCAAACAGGTTAATAGATTCCGTCCCAAAACTAGCTGTGTCCAAGGAGAGCTACGGGGTTACTACCAGGAGGAGAAGCTGAGAATGGGTCACATGGCACAAAGGAGAGTACCTACAAAGGATTCTTTGGGGAAAAATTTTAATATTCCCATGATGGCAAAGATATTTCTGCCTCCTGCCCTTGGAGTTCTTGCCAAAATGGCAAAGTAAAGAAGAAACTGAAATCAGTAGTGAACTTGGACACATCTAGGAACTTGCCCCACAATGTGCAGGGGGAGGTGGGCGGAGGATGGTAACTGACCTTCCAGGGCAGAGGAGGGAGTTGGTGATGAGACCCATCTGCCTCTAGGAACCTGGGGAGGGGGTGGTGGTGGTCAGGCAACAGGTGCCTCAGGAGAGCCCGAGTGGGTAGGCCAGAAGCAGACGGGTGGGTTGAAACTCTGAGCCAGGAGCTATCAGATCACCAGGGGCCTGCTGCTTCACCTGTGACCAGGTACAATGCCTTCTCATCCCTCCAAGAAGCAGGAGCTTATTCTCTAGAATTATTAGAATAAGAAGCTTGGGATTGAGGGGTAACAGGCCCAGCAGAGAGCAGGGTGAAAGTCTGCCTAGAGATGCTGAGACCTGTACTTTCCAAGTCCCAAACTGCCTGCAGTGTGGCAGCTGGGAGGATCTGCCCACCCAACAGCTGGAAAGCATCTGTCTCGGGAAGGAAAGGGTTCCAGGTAGATAGACATCTGGATGGCCATCCAGTTGGCCA